CCTTTTTTTTTTTTTTTTTCAGGACTGCGAGCGAAGAGCAGTAACAAAACTATTCCATCATAGAATGGACAATTAGAAATTCTTTCAGTTGGTATCAAGGTAAAATTTTCCTTCTTTTGTTGTCCAATTTTGAAGAGCAGATAAATTTCTGGTGTTATATGTACTTTTCTTTCAATCGGCCAGGTTTGAACTATATGTGCACCTCTCAAGTAAAATGAGATAACCTGTCTATTCCAACCTACTAAGTTTTATCCTCAATAATCTGACAATTTTAGCCCTGATACAGGCTCCATCATGGATTCCCTATATGCCATCTTCATCACGCTGTCAAGGAATATAACAGTTCATCAGTGGTGATACAAATTATAGCATGTTCGTTCATCTCTGTCTGATTGTTTGTATTTTTGTTTCTTTTTCGGGTTGACGAGGGGAGGGGGTGTCAATTGCTAGCTGGTGTCTACTTTCTATATTTGGTAAGGTAGAACCCTTGGATGTGTTCCGTCCAATAACAAATTAAGTTACATTCCCAATAAATTTGGGAAAGGACGAATGATCTTGTCAGGTTTGCATAATATGGAGCCTCCCACCATATTAGTATAACTGTACATCTCAGGTCAATAGTTCTGTAGGTATTATGAATATTCCTTCTTTGCTGCAATTCTCCCCCCTGCTATGGTTGAATCTCAACTCTAGTTACTTGTATTGTGGTATTGTACTTCCTCTTTATCATTTAGGTGCTCAGGACTACATACTGAGGTTAGAAATTGAGCGTATGTTTGGTTCATTGAACTATAAACAACGCACCAAACATGCATTAAGGACTTGGTGGTATATATTAAAATCTGATATTTAGTAGATTTTGATAAAAAATGTTGAAATATGTGGTTGAAATTAGCTGTTAATTTTAATTTGAATTTTATCAAATTTTAATCTATACCAAATGGGGGCTAAATGTTTTTGTCAATTGGACCCTTCACATCAATGTAGTTTAAATGTATTTTGGAATAGTATTTTGTTGAAGAATGTGCAGTAAAAAATAAGAAGTTTTGGATTTATAATAAAACTATTTTATAGGACAATATGTAGTTTAAAATGAATTTTTGAAAAAATGGGAGTCAAATGTAGACTTGGTGAATATTACTCCTTCCGTCCGTTGGTTTTGTTTTTTACACGGATTAAAAAATCTTATTTAATATTATTGAATAAAGAAAATTTTGCCAAAAATTTTCCTAATTTACCCTTATTTAGCCCTTGTTGGAGCTCCTTGTTTTTCAAAAATCATTTTCAAGCACTCATTTTCCAAAAAAATAATTTTATACGTAAATTGTAAACTTTTCTTTATTCTTTAATCATACGTTCTTTAAAAAATTACTATTTAAAAATATATTTTTTTCAAAATGGGGCTCAAACAAGGGTTTAATTATAAACAACTAGTAGTGAATTATTATTGAAAGTAATAAAGAAATTGAATAATTAAATTTTCAATTCTCACACTAGGTCCCTGTTTGGTACACATTATTTTTTTCATTCTCATTCTTCTACTCATTTTCAATCATACATTTTTCAATAAAATAATATTTTCTATCACATCAATAACTTTTCCTTCATTTTTAACCACACATTTTCCATCAATCTACTATTCAATAATACATTATTTCAAAAGAATGTGTTTCAAACACACTCTAGTTATAGTTAGGAAAATCAAATAATGACATATTAGTAAATGAATAAAACAAAACATTCTTAATAAAGAAATAAGACTATATAATTGGGACAAGAAAATAAGAAATGTTGGCCTATATAAATGAGGCTGATGAAGTATAAGGAAGTTTTAGAACCAATTGAAGTTTAAAGGTCTAATATTTCAATAAATTTATTTTTCAGTAACTTTATTATATGTAAATTAATAAAGATTACTTAATTGTGTTTTTAGGTTCTACTTATTTGTTGCGTGCGTAAGCCTATGTTTAAACTCCAATTAAAAATATATATATATATATATTTTCAAAATTTATTTTCAACTATGCATTTCCCGATTTCACGTAAACTAAAAATTTTTCCTTATATTTTAGAAACAAATTCTCCAAGAAATTAATATTTTAAAATGTATTTTCAACCAACAATGGAACTCAAACAAATGCTTAATTTTGATCGCCAACTCGGTCAAAATACTGAATTAGCGAACATTAATTCAATCTAAAATCATCGCCAAAATTTTTATTTATTTATCTTGTTTCTAAAAATAATAATAAAATAAATGCATTAATTAAATATTTACTTAAGCACTATTTGATTGGCATTATTTTTTAAGGAATTAGGAAAATATTTTCCACTTTCCATTTTTTTGGCTGTTTGATAGGCGAAATTTTCCACGGAAAATATTTTCCACCTTTAGTCCACACGTGTAAATTTTACAACATTTTGATGAAAAATTTTTCCTACCTTTCTAGAAATTTTTTTTTTTTGTTTTTGTTTTTGTTTTTTTGTTTTTTTGGCAATGGAAACAAATGTCATAACTAATGGTAAAAAAAAAATTCACTTTAATGGATAATTTTTATGTAAAACAAAGTCAAACGAACACTAAACTTTGATAAAAAATGATTTTTTAGGAAATAATTTTTTTTCCTTTTTATTTTACTTTTAGGCAATGGAAACAAATTTTATAACCAATTTGTGGAAAAAATATCATTTTAATGGATAATTTTCATGTAAAATAAAGCCAAACAAATAAAAAACTTAAAAATTTTTCGGGTAAAAAATTATATCAATTAAACACACTAAAAATTATTTTACATGGAAATTTTTTTCTTAAAAACTTAAAATTTTTTTTCTTAAAACATTTTTTTTCCGCCCATTTTGAACCTGTATATCAAAACTGTTCTTATTCTCCTGTTTTTCACCTGCCATTGTTGAAGAGAAGAAGGGAAACGATGGAAGCTTGCACTCTCTTCGCACCCCTTAAACCCTTCAATCTCAATTTTATCAAATCCATTCCCAACCGATTCTCTTCCAATTTTTCATCTACCAGAATCCACGCAGGTCAAGTATCACTGCAAAATGGCGTGCGGCGCTCTTTAACCGGGAATCGGATAACTTGCACCCGCCTTCCTCTGTTTGCCATTATAACTGGGTTTTACATTTTTCTTGTATACCTGTGTAATTTAGCGTAGCTGGCGTAAATGGCTTTGGTTTTACACCTTTTTGCAGGTGGAGACAGAATGACTAAAAGAGCATATGACGGATTGCTATTAGACGCCGGGGGCACACTCTTGCAATTAGCGAAGCCAGTTGAAGAAACTTACTTAACAATTGGCCAAAAATATGGTCGAATTTCAGCCTCAATTTATATTGATCTATATGCTATAACTATTTGAGGTTTAAGGATTGTTGTAAATCCTGGAAATGGTGTTCAATTCAATGAATTTTTTGCCTACGGCAGGTTTGAAAACCACAGTAGCTGATATAAAGCAAGGTTTTAAAAGAGCTTTTTCAGCTCCATGGCCTGAAAAACTCCGATACAAGGTTTGATGGAATTTTCATAATTTTTTAAGATATCAAAATTAATTATTTTTATGAATCCGGTTCATCAAATGAATTATCTATTAATTTTTTATTCGTGTTCTAGTACTGTCCTACCAGGCATAAGACTAATTCTATGCTACCCAACAATAAGACTAATTCTATTGCATCGTTGATGGTACTTAAGTGCAGTTTGCAGGTATCACGGATGAAATAGTTCTCGAGGATATATTTTGATAGTTGCAAAATAGGATATGAGTTAATATGTGTGTGTGTGTGTGTGTGTCTGGGAGAGGGAGAGAGAGAGAGAGAGAGAGAGAGATTTGGAATCCTGTAATTACTGAAAATGAAATTTAAAATTAATTATAATAAAGATGCACAATCTTTATAGACGATGTTTTGAGCCTTTAAGGAATAAATCATCAAAAGGGTAAAAGAATCATTTAATACATTGTACTAGTCTACACTGAATTTACTATGTTACTCTCAACACTTCCCCTCTAGCTAAACGTGGTTGAGGGTACTACCTTTAGCTCACTTCTGAGTCTATTGAAGTGAAGAGCTAAGAGTGCCTTGGTAAGAATATCTGGTGTTTGATCTTGAATGGAAAGTGTCGAATTTGAAGTTATATTTTAATTAACTTTTTCCCTCGCAAAATACATATCGAGCTCCATACATTTTGTTCTTGAATGAAGTACCGTATTGGCGGATAGAGCAACTGTACTTTGATTATCACACCATATCAGTGGTGTCTTTCTTTGTAAAACTTCCTTAATACGGTTTGAATCTGCAGGATTTTACAGTTGTACAGGCCAAGCTTCGACAATTCTGCTTCCATTGTTGATCTCGAGATTGTAGGTTGTTTCTTGGAGCTACATGAGATTAAGCCCCTGTTTGACACCCATTTTATTTGAAAAATAATTTTTGGAATAGTGATTGATGGAAGATTGTGTGGTTAAAAAGTAAGGAGAAATTTTGGGTTTATGTGTAATATTATTTTATTAATAGAATGTGTAGTTGAAATGAAGAATGAGAAAAAAATGAGTGTCAAACAGGGACTGAATGGTTTACTTTAACGGATATTTTAGATTAAAATCGTCAGTCAACGTTGAAACAATATTTTTGACTCAAATGACAACTTAGCCCCTGTTTGACACCCATTTTGTTTGAAAAATAATTTTTGGAATAGTGATTGATGGAAGATTGTGTGGTTAAAAAGTAAGGAGAATTTTTGGGTTTATGTGTAATATTATTTTATTAATAGAATGTGTGGTTGAAATGAAGAATAAGAAATAGAATGAGAAAAAATGGGTGTCAAACGGGGGCTAAGTTTGCTCCAAGATAAACACGATAGCTCAAAGTGGACCTCCTATCATCCGGATTGGATGCCGAATTTGAAAATCCTATAATGCGTAGGTTCTCTGGTCTGCTTAACAACACACAATACTCAACTGTTCATTTTAGATATCTAAAAGTATCCTTTTGACAACTTTCAATGTGTGTCGAGAGGATTCTGCATATGTTGAAATACCTTGTTGACACTATAGGAAATCTCTGGTCTAGTGATTGTAGCATAGTGAAGAGCACCAACAATAATCCTGTAGAATGATGCATTTTCAATTGGATCACCGATCTTTGAAGATAGCAGAGCATTGGAGGTCAGTAATGCACTTCCCCTGACTGAGATGAGAGAGCCACTCTCAGTCAAATTGACCTCAATACCAAGAAAATATTGCAGAAAACTGAGGTCTTTTAAGGCAAAAGCTTGATGTAGAGAGATGATCACATTTTGAACTTCTTGGGCATCGCTCCCAGTAATGATGATAATGTCAAAATAGACGAGTATAAAGATACAAAAATGTGGCTTGATCAATACGAAAAGAGATGAGTTTGCCTTGGAGTTAATGAAACCAGTAGTAATCAGGACCAGTTTGAGCTTATCAAACCAAACTCGAGGAGTTTTAATAAGACCATAAAGAGCCTTTTGGAGCTTGCAAACTTGATATTCAGCAGCTGGTTGTTCGAACCCAGTCGGTTGAAGCATATGAACATTCTCTTCAAAAGTTCCATTCAAGAAAGTATTGTTGATACTGAGTTGTCTTATGCACCATTTTTTGCACAGTGCAGGGATCAGACTAGTACATATGGTCACTGGTTTTACAATCAGGACGTACAATCTATATAGAAGATGTTTACAGCCTGTAAAGAATAAATCATCAAACGGAAAAAAGTCCTTTAATACATTGTACTAGTCTAAACTGAATTTACTATGTTATCCTCAACAGTTAAATGCGGACATCCATATCATTTATGCAAGTTGGTGTTTCTGAAATTTTTTATCTAAAAATTGTTAAAATTGATAGCTAGCGCAAGTGCAGCTTTTTAAGTTTCTTTCAGATGTGATATTTCCCCCCACCTTCTTGGTGGACCATCTGATATTTGGTGGGAAGTTCCATTTGGAATGAAAGCGTGACATCTTGAGATTATGTAAGCTAGCTTATCATTAACTGGTGTTTTATTAAACAATATGAAATCATTAAATTGAATGGCATGGAAAACTGCCTGTCAATGGTTAGGGGCTTTATTAGTTTTCTAGTTCTTTCCACCTCTTATATTTGACTGTGTGTAGTGTTTGTATCTGCTCACTACGTGTTAAATTTTGTAAACAAAAGGATTTCAATTGCGATTAGTGGAAATGGAACTGCAATTGTGTTACCGTACGAAAATTAATTATCCGGTTGCATGGTAAAGTGAAGAATCTAGCACTTCAACCACATAGCAGTCTTACTCTTAACATCATTTTAATCATGGTTTCCAACGTTATGTATAACTGACAGGATGACGGTAAGCCATTTTGGAGACTTGTTGTTTCAGAAGCCACTGGTTGCGACAGTGATAATTATTTCGAAGAAGTATACAAGGTGAATTTTTTGAGGTTAAGCTGTTCAAATAAGTCGTCGCATAAAATTCTTATTGTGTTGCGCAAAAACTATTGAAGAATGTATTTATTCCGATACTCGTGAAACATACTAGAAATTGAGATCATCAGCTTTTTAGTGTCTCATCTATTGTATTTGCAGTACTATGCAAATGGTGATGCATGGCATCTTCCAGATGGAGCTTATGAAACAATGTCGCTTCTGAAAGATTCTGGAGGTCATCAAGTATCTTCTTGAACTGTTAGATGTGAAATATTTAAATTAAATATTGATTTCTTTAGTTCCCTTGTTTTTACTTATAAATTACTGATAAATACGCAGTTAAACTGGCCGTTGTTTCCAATTTCGACACCCGCTTGAGGAAGCTACTTAAGGATCTGAATGTGTTAGATCTGTGAGCATCAAGATCTTCTGTGTTTATGCTTTTCTTTTACTTTCAGTAATTGTTTAATCCAATATTAGTAATTGAATGCTTGTGCATTTTGTTCTTAAAGACCATGAATTATTTATTTTTGCAATAATCTTCGTCAAATCCACTTTCATTTTGTGGTGGTTGACGATCAATTGACATGTATATGGAAGATGGTACATCTGTCAGAAATGTTTTCTTTTTCTTATCTTTCCTCTGAGGAATGTGGTACTCCAAAATATCCATTCCTTTAACGTAGATGCAGAAAAGAGCCAAGTAAATCCACAAACTACATTCATTGGTCTTTTATTGTTTCTTTTGGATTAGGTTTGATGCTGTCATCATATCCTCAGAGATTGGATATGAAAAACCAGACGAGAACATATTTAGAGCTGCGTTAGGTACGTGTTAAAATACCAAGAACCTTTACATGAACATTGCAATTTATCATCTATTATTCACAGTATCATCTTCTACTTGTTTTAGAGATAGCTTGGCCGACCAACCATGCAGTTCTTCTCTTCAGCATGTTTGTCTAAGCTTAAAAATAAGTAAATGTTACCTAAAAAAGTATATTTTTGGTTTCCAAACACGTTAACTTACTTTTTCTCGCTTTTAAATTAAAAAAAGTTAGTTATTTTGAAAATACTCTTACCTTGCTATTGAAATAAATAACTAACTTTCAAGTTTGATACATTAAAAAAAAAAAAAAACACACTATTTTAAAACTTGCTATGTACTTCTAAATAAACTTGCAAGTAAAGTTAAGCGTAGCTCCATTTACTTTTCACTTAGTTACGTACTTGTAGAGTTTATTTGGATGTACTTGTCACGGACTAATACCCTTCATATAACAATACGGTGAAATAGAGTTATCTTAGAAATTTATTATTGGCAATTTTGTAGATCAAATCTCTGTAGATGCCAGCAAAGCAGTTCATGTTGGAGATGATACAAAGGCTGACAAAGCAGGGGCTAACGCTGTTGGGATTGATTGCTGGTAGGTTAACAGTGTTATAGTACTCTCTATATGCACTAGTTAATTTCATTCAAGGCCAACAAGTGGCACTATGATCAAATGTTGTTACATCACCATTTGAATTCAATCACATTCCCATCTCAACTTTGTACCTACGGATATAAGAGGGTTTTACGAGGCTCTATTTTCGTCTTCAAACTAGTTGAACAATACAGAAATTCAGAATATGTAAAAATCAAAAAATAGCTTGTGGTTTGACAGTTAAGTTATTATGAATATGCAGGTTATGGGGCGTTGATGTCAAAACCTTTGCAGATATACAAAATCGCATCCTTTTGCCAGAACCATCAATTTTGAGGATGTAGACAACTAGACATTGCAGTTCAGTAATTGTTCTTGGTGCTGTTTCCTTGGCGGGTTTTATATTCATGACCTTGTTCTTTTTGACGAGTTTTTGTCATGCACAATGAAAAGCTATATTTGGTACACATTAGGACACTAAAATAAGCAAGATTTTATCTTCTTTTCTGGGACTGCATCTGTATGCTCCACCCTTCCAATTGAGCCATCAAAAGTCAAGGGATGTATTTGAAAATACAATGGTCTTGGACTAAATCTTGTTCAAGTTTATGGATCACGTTTTCTATTTTTTCTTTTAATTATATATGTTTGATTGCCTGCCAGTTATTGCTGGATAATTAGCCAACCATGCTGTAGAAGGCAAGGAAAAATGGATATGCATAAAAAAACAAGAATTATACATGTTAGAGAAGGTGATTAATGAATAGTTGCTTTATATCCTTATTCATAGGCTCCATGATTGTGTATGATAAGCCATGGGTGTAAATTTACAACTTTGTTTCAGAATATTTGTTCTTCTAACATATTGATTTGACCCCATTAGCAGGTCAAAGCATGTTGCCACTAGAAGCAGAATTTCGTATTTCTTCAAGAGAATCTCATAATTGTTCTCTAGAGCGAAATTCTTTAATCAGAAAGAATTCGGTTCACATATAAGATTTTGCAATTCAATTATAGATGATGGAATCATCAAACATTTGACCTCTTCGAAGAGTTTCCCTGTACTTGCATCTGATCAACATGCAGTAGGCCCTAAAAAATTAATGAAAATCTTAATTTCTCCAGATTGTTACAGCTTCTCTAGCTAAATTCTCACCAAGACAAAAATTTAAAAGGGGGAAAAAAAAAAAAAAACAAAAACACACCTGCGCAAACATGATAAACACTGCATATATTCATGCTCTTTGAAATGAGCATCCATAATTTACTGAACGCTTTAGTTCTCGCTTATCGTTCTACCATTAACACTCCAACCCAGGACGTGAGTTCCACCGAACAAGAAAAACAACCCAAGAAAAGGATTTACAGTTTCCAGTCGACAGAAAGATAATGTTGAAAAGTTTGCTGTAACGACTGCTTGCCTCAAACTACGTCGCAGTTTGAATGTTGTGTTTCTCGCATACTCTTGTTCCGTTTTCAGCCCACCACTTCTCTGCCTGGTCTTCTGTGAAAAGTTTACGACTGTAGAAAACCACAAAAATGTTCACTCATGGGCAAGAATCAAAGAGAGATGAAAAGAGATTACCTGAAACGAACTCGTATCAGTTCGTTGACACCATTTTGCAAGGAGACCAGAGTCAGGTACACGCCCGTTTCATCTTGTATTATCCGCTCTGACTTCTGCACTTTGGTTCCATTAGATAGGGGTGAAGGGGTTGACCTGTCACTCGACTCAGTTTTAGGAGAGGTTATGCTGGTAACACCGCTTCCATTAGATAGTCGACCAGTATTGTTCATCATTTTCTCAGCCTCCAAGTTGCTGCATGCAATATGCTCTTTAGGCACTCTTTCAGCCATCTCTTTTAACTGCCAGGAAATTGAACCATGACACTATTAGATTCTATTCAACCATTACAAAAATCAGAGGTTTCCTTGCAAGTAAACCCATATAGCCATATGACAGGAAGAACTTATGATCATTAAAAGGTAGAAACATGAAAATAATAGGCAATCTTATGCAATCCAACAGGATCTAAAGAAATTCTTCCAGGCAACATTAGTTTCTGTAAATTAAAAGCGAATTTTTAAGTGTACAAGACGTGCAAATTTTTTTGTGGAGGAAATGCATTAGATGTTGTATATCCATCTAGCACCAAAAAGTCATTTTCACTAGTCTGTGCCTATACTATACTCTATATATTAAGGCAAAAGTGCAGGTCAACGCAAAATAGCAAACTAATTAAAGTTACTTGTTGCACATGGGTAAACAACTTGTGTAGCAGCTTTTTTACTAGTAAGAGATGTGTTACTCCTGCAATCACTGGGCAACCATGAATCGAAGGCTGAGATCCTGAACCTCTCATTACCTTATTTGAGGATGCCTGGTCCCCTATATCGTACCTCCACTCAAAATACTAAATAAAATTCTCTGTTTCTATCAATAGACAAATGTGACAAGAGCATAGACCGCATAGGAAACAAGATGGATATAACTTGTAAGAAACTAACGTAACGGGCCTAAATTTTGTGTAGATGGCAATGACTTAATAATTCATTCATACTTGTGCTCGTAGAGCGCTCAATGTCTACATGTGACATGAATTACGTCCCTCCATAGAAGGTCTTACTTTTTATGAGGATCGGATTGGACCTTCTATGTTGCCAGTATTAAACTTACATAAGGTTTGGGTCACATTTCAATTGGGGGATCATCCAGAAAGTTCCAGTCAGACTAGATCACTAGATGCCCAAGAATAATTTCCTGGAAACTAACCCATTAGGGAAACCACTTGGCCAACTATTTCTATGAAAAATGGACCTTTAAAAGCATTTTGAAAAGAAAAACATACTGAAATTTTGAACACAGAACGACATTTTACCTGTGCTGTCAGCGACTTGATTACTTCTTTTGCAGCTTTGCTTTTTTCAGCCTCATCAGCTGCATATGCAGTCACCTCTTTAAGTTTCTTTGATTTTTTTTCCAGTTCAGCTTCAAGAAGGTGGGATTTTTTAGTGAATTCTTCTACCTAAAAAAGTATTCAGAGTCAGGTTCTAAAAACCAAAAGGTAAATAAACAGAAGGAAACAATTAATATTTGTTTCCAATGATGTATGCAGGATATTTAGGGTGTTTGAATTGGGATGGGGGTGTTGGAATGGACACTTTTGGATGCAACAACTGAGCCATTCTCATCAATCCAGAAAATAGCAATCACACGGCAATTTTACACTTCTGAACGTATTAAGAAAATGCAAGGTATTTATGAAGTCTATGCAGAATTTTGACACAAGTTAAATATAGCACAATGCTTTAATATGAGAAAAGAAACATTAATGAAGTCCAGATTAGAGAAAAGTGCATGCCAACATGTCTAAAGTATTTTCTGCATCTCTAAACAGGCTTACCTGTGCCTTTAAATATTTAACCTCCTGACTTAGACTGTCATTAGTACTCTTTATATCCTCAGTAGTTACTTCTGATGTGCAAACTGATGTATATGGTAACGCTGTGGCAGACCTCAGAGGGCTTGACTTTCCTGGAATAGGAGATGGTGACCGAGAAACCATTCGAGAACTAGGAACAGAAACCGAAGTCAAATTCTTAGAAATTCCAAATGGGCTAACAGTAGATTTTGACGAAATGCTTGCCCTATGAATATTTTCATTCTGAAGAGGGAACACACGGCTATCGTTCGATTCATATCTCATGTTATATGAGGAACTCCTTTCAGATTTGAATGAGTCAACAGAAGAGAGTCTTGAAATATTTCCAAGTAAACGAGAAGTCCCAGTCTCTTTCTCCGTTGTTTCAATGGGCTTATATAGTGTACCTCCACTTTTAACATTAGGAATTCGAGGAACAGATCCTGGATCTATCGCCTTCTGTAATTTGTTGAAACAATCATCACACACACGATATGGCTTATTCATGCTAGGGGCTAAGGCGGCTTTAAGAGACTTCCTACTGCTACATGCTTTGCAAAAAACAAGTCCACAGTTGTAACAGTTGTGACGTATTCGTCTGAAATTAAACGGATTATGACAACCTGAGCACATGGAATTGTCAGCACTAGATAACCATTTATGACGACATATAACAGCAGTAAAATTTGAACCACAGGCCACACTTTTTGCTCGTTTATCTTTCAGAAAGTCGACAAGAGTAGGTGTATCCCGGTCATCATTATCGCCATGCCCGAGTTGCCCATCTGAACCCTTTCCCCAGGTATAAACTTCTGCCTTTGATGTCAAAACTGCAACATGATGTGAACCACAAGCAATCTCTTCCACAATACTGTCAGCAATTTTACCTTCTATACAAGTGGGAGTCTTTCCACTGGCTACAGGATTCAGCAGCTGACCATAAACATTACTGCCCATGGTATATACTCGTCCTGATGTTGTCAGAGCAACAGTAAGGTTGTTCCCACATGCTACCTCAGAAAAGCTTACGTCAACCAATGAATCTATACATTCAGGAACTAGTCTTGATTCTTTATCACCATGCCCAAGCCGCCATTTATCCCCGTTCCCCCAGGTGAAAAGCTTTCCAGATAAGGAACCATCAGATTCTCCATAGTTCGAAGATTTACTCGTTACTTCAACAATTGCTGCAGTGTGCCATACACCACAAGCAACCTTCACTGTCCGCAATCCCTTTAAAGTTTCCACTTCTCGTGGAATACTGGTGCCACTACAATTTCCATGTCCCAGTGCACCAAAAGTTCCGTCTCCAAACGTAAACAACTGGTTTGCATAAGTGATCAAAGCTGTATGCCAAGGCCCACATGAAACAAATGACACATGTAACCCCTCGATGAGACCACCCACTTTTTTGGGGATCCAGTGACCAGCTTCACTTCCATGTCCAAGCAAACCACAGTAATGAGAACCATCACCCCAAGAGTATAGATCGCCAGAAAGTGTAACAGCACAAGTGTGATATTCACCACATGCAACCTTCTCAATGTTCACGCCACAAAGCGTTTCGATGAGCTTGGGGTGGGAAACATCAGCTTCAACTCCATGCCCCAGCCTCCCTCCCATCTCTTCCCCCCAGGTGAATACCTCCCCATGTTTAGTGACTAAAACTGCATGTCTATCACCGCAAGAAATACTATGTACATCAAGTACAATAGTTGATTCTAATGCCTTAGGCAAGAGAGCGTTAACCTTGGTGTTAGATGATCTATGAACTCTAACCACACCACCTCCTACCACCCCATCACCAGTGCCTTCTCCCCAAATGAAAACATCACCCAAGCTATCAAAATCTTCATTACAGGAACCTTGACTTGATGAACTTACAGCACTGGATAGACTCACCCGAAATGTATCGCCTCCAGAACTTCGGCCGTTTGAGTTGTCTACAGCCCCAGCTGGCAGTGAGTTGATAGAATATGTAATGGATTCTGCTCGTGTAGGGCTCTTAGCTGTCGCAGTGTATGTAATGATATCGGCAAATGCTTTTCCCCATCTGCTCTGAGAAAGATTCTCAGATAGTTGGGTATCTCCTTGATCCTGAGGTAACTAAATTAGACAGAAGAAAAAGAGGAAATTAAAATGGAGAAAGAAGAAACTCACTAAGACGGATTTGTTTATAAAGAGAAGAATAAGATACTATAACTCACAAAAGAAAAACTTGATGGGGAGACCCTCCGACCATGTGGACTATCTGATGATGTACTTTCACTTTTTGCCTCCTTTTTTATTTTCCTGTAGCCACCACGTGCAATTAGAGCTTTTAAACCGACAAACCAAACCTCGGCTTCATCCTTATCTTTACATATCTGTCAATATTTTGTAGTGGAATTAGACAGATTATGAGAGAGAGAGAGCCAATATGGTGGGTGCATCCACATGTTTTGCAGTTGATATAGTGCACATTTAACTCAATAAGAAGTTAAGAACCAGTCAATAAACTCACCAAATCCAAGGATCTGTCGCTATATATGAGAGAAAATGATTGGTATTCCTTCTCAGGTCGAGGATACCGCTGAAATATTGCCTGAAAAAAGACAATGGCTATGATGTTAGTCAAATGTTTCAAATTTTAATATCATTAACATGGTAGTGAAGAAGAGATTGAACTTAAAGAAATTGCATTTAAAATGAATATTCCATGTAACTCTGGTTATGTTAAAGTAATGACCACCAAAATTTCCATGCACTGCTCTAAGTGCATCTTGTTATATTTTCTGCGTTACTTTAATGTCAAATGATATGAAACCATATTATTAATCAATATATCACGACTCTTATGCTAGGCCTCCACGTAAATTTTCTCCTCCAGATTTTCCTTTTGTTTTTGCTGCTAAATTTAGAAAAGAAAATCGCGAAAATTTTATTTAAAGGCATTGAAAAGCATAAATTCAAGAGACAAAGAGGTCCAAATGGGAAAGCAGATTATAAGGTAGAAAATCTATGACATTCCAGGTGGATTATCTTTCCAGCTCCTATAGGAAAAACAAATCCATTGAATTACGTAAACATAGAAATCTTTCTACTTCAACACCTCTACAATGCACCAACTCACGAGGAAATGAAACATCTCTTAAAATTAGAAAAAATGTTCAGCATACTTACAGTACGCTGTCCAGGAATTATCCTTGAAACATGACGTAGCTCAAGTTGTTTCTCATCTTTGCCATAGTACCATATCAATGTAGACTCGTCCTACAGTTTATCAATCAAACTAAATAACTAAAATGAAGAAAATTAAAAAAGTGTAATTGCATTCAATAAGAAAGAATAAGTTCTCCAAAGCTACTAACGAATGACATAGGACGACATGCTAAAAAATTTCAATTTGGTGGTTCTAATTCATTCAAAAAGTTAATACTTAGTCACAATCATGTACTAATAAGATCATCAACATACTATCACTTACAGCATCAAAAATACTTATCACAAGACAACTGACAGCAGAAATTCGGGATGACCAGAATCACGGATGACACTATAACTTACAGTGGAAAGTCGAAATGGGCAAAACTTCGGCTTCCCTCTTCGCCCATACTTCAGCAAGTAGGATCCTTTCTTAAGAGCTGTAATGGCCTAAAGACAAACACTTCGTAAGCATATAAATTCCAACCCAAATGCCTAACACAACATTTCAGTACTTATTTCATCGAAGAAATACAAAGAATTTGTGTGTACACAATACTTCTAAAAACAGATGCAGCATATAATTGCAATGACTAATGAAAGACACAGTGAATCTTTAGTACCTGATCAATATCCCTTTCCACGAGACTAGGCCTCTGCAAATCAGCCATTCAATTTGTGATATAACTTGGTGCAAAAACCCAGCAATTAAACCAAAACCCATTTGAACAATCACAAAATGATGCCCTTTCTGTCCTATTCTGCCCCATATAACACTACCCTTGAACTTCAAAATTCAATTTCTTCATCTACCCCATTGTAAAATCCACAAAAAAACAGAACCCGCAAAAATTTCTCACTTCTTGAGACACAGAATCACAGCCCGCCTAAATGTTTACTCAATTCATCCAAGATTGTATTAGACTGGATTCAAAGAAATGATCTTTGATCACTGAAACAGCTGAAATCACTTCTCAAAGAGAATTTATAACCCTAAGAAAACATTTCCTCAATTTCTTTCACATGCATGCATAAGCATTCAAAAAAGTTGAGCCCACAAGCCACATTGGTGTTATAACAAGAGGATTTAATTGCAAAGATCTATTTTTTCAGAAATTCAAGAAATTATGCCGGAGATAAAATTAAGAAGGGGGTATCGGTCTTCTTTTGAGCTCAAATGTAAAATCTTTAGCCACAAATAGACATAGAAAAAGCCCTCTTCAAAGAAAAAAAGAAAAAAAAAAGGGAATTGGTTCTTGCAAAAAGGGCTTTTTGGAATTTAAATGAAGCAATTGTTGGAATTGAAAGGGTTGAATCTTCAGGGTCTTGACTCCTTAAACGTGCAATGCAGATTTTCTTGCTCTCTCTCTACTTTTTCTGTTTTGAAACTATCCCTTTTATTCCGGGAAAATGCCATGTCAGCAAATGAAAGTCAGATGCCTTGTTATATCTTAGGATTTTCATGATTAGGATGTTTTTGTCATTTTCTTTCGGAATCTAATTATTTATTAACAAGTAAGGCCAAAAAGTAACTTGATATTGACATTTGCCCCCTAAAGTTAAGAGATTTCACATACCTGATACCCCCACAAATCTCACCAATTTCCCGGTTGGAGAATTAAGTCTGTGATAAGGTCTTTTGACAAAAGAGGTTCTGGTCAACGTTTATCGACTTGAGGCTTCGATAAAACTCCCATTGTAGCATTGAAAGGTCAAGAAGTTGGATTAGAGGTAGATAGCTTTATATATAAGATTAGTTGAACATAGATCATATTTTAAAATCATTCATAACTTTTTATTTATCGAACATGACAGCTCATAAGAGAAATAAAGTAAAGTTCCGCTTATCTTGTATAAAAATTCTCTCCAGGTTGACTTTTTTGAGTTAGTTACTTTAAGAATTCAAATAAATTATTATTAGTATGATAGTAAAGAGTATGTGAACAGGGGCTACACATTGTGTTTTACTACTTTAGTTGTAAAGTAACACGTGTTACCCATTTAAGAAAAAAAATCAACTTTTTTTACTTATGTTACCCTTTTTGACATGTTTTATTGTTCTACCTAGAGTAACAAGTGTTACTTTTATTTATTTATTTATAGGGTAATGTATATATTACTTGTGTTACTTATTATTGTTTTTATTAGTAGAATAATATATGTATTACTTGGTTATCCTATTCCCAACCCTAAAACCATCCCATCTAGCACTGGTGGGAGGTGCTAGTGGTCGTGGTCGATATAATTGTCTAGATTTATATTAGGCAGCAATCTTTATGGCAATGGTTGTCTCATATGAGTCCAATAGTAGTAGTAATGGTGGTGGTGGGTTTGCAATATCTATTGTACAACTGTGCCAATGATGGGGGTCATCAATAGTGGTGGTGAGCGGGCTTGGCGATGTGTTGTTAGGGTATGGATATGAGAATTAAGTTTAGGGTGTCTATACGATTGCCAAGAAAGTAATTTTTATAAAAAGTAATGTTATTTATCATCATTGATGATTATCATCTTTAAATGTCATTGTTTAATATATGGGTCTTATGTACCTACAATTAACCCTTGTTTGATTTTAATTTTTTGAGAATTGATTTTATTTGAGAAAGTATATAATTAAAAAGTAAGAGAAAATTATGAGTCAACGTGCAAAATTATTTTATTGAGAGACTGTAGATTCTAAAATAAGCTTGGTAAAAAGTGGATTCATAAAATCCAAATAAAACAAGGACTTAATTTGACCTATCATTTAATATAATTATAATATCATATATATGATGGTGGTTATTGTTGGTCATTGAATTTAATCACATAAGAGGAAATTAATTTTCCTTTGAAGATTAAACCCAAGTGAATAATGGATCTTAGATCACCTTGAGATTATTGAATTTTTTTTTTAAATCCGCACACATAAATGTGAGATAACTTTAAAAGAGTTTTTAATGACCTAGTCAAGTGCTTCTTCTCTTAGATCTTCTTCCTTATACTCCTTAGGTATCTCCTTTATTCGAAAAATATGAAAATGTGACTAACTCTAAAAACTTGATAAATATGCCCATAATTGCACAAATTTTCTTGGACTTTATTGGAGTAGACCAATTAAATCACACACCTTTACTGGAGTCAAAAGAGAGACCTAACCGGACGCACGAGACTCAAGCTCCAACAGATATTTCTAATTGGGTCAACTCTTGAGCAATTAAGATATATCTATTAATCCAGACTTACTCTACCAAAAAAAGGGGATTGCACTCTTGAGTCGAGTGAAAGTTATGGAAGCTAATTATGATTCGATAACAATATCCTCTGACCACAGTTCCATAAGTCAACCCCCATTTGACCGTCAATATGTTGAAGTCGACAAAATGAAAGTTTTGCCCTTCAACATGTATTACCCTCTAAGTCCCATTTCATAAGACGAATTCGTTGTGATCACATCACAACACCAAGTCCAACGATCTCATCGTCGGACTACTAAGCTCAAGTTCAATTCCTTTTAGAAAATATCTTAGAGTGACAATCGTCTCATCATGATGATTAACGGATTCCACTATTGCATGTATATGATCTCTAACTGTTTTGTCCAGATTCCCAAAGCACTAAGATTGATCTTCTAATGAAGACTTTACTCATTGATATCTCAGAGAACTNAAAACGTCCAACTTTATGTACTGATTTTGAACGATATTATTTTATCACGTTACGAATTGTGTCTCATTATACTCGAACTATCGAGTATACAATTTGTGACATCACATATGATCGTGGAACCTTGAATAATTGTTTCAAATTGTAACATGCAAATAATCGAAGGTCAATTCATAATGTCAAAAAACAAATACTACTCGAAAAGGGTATTAAACTAACAATCTCTCACTTGTCCTTTTAGAGTATATGTGACATATCAAGAATACATATCCTCTCAAGATACCCATAAACCTTAACTGGTAAGCTCTTGGTAAACGAATCCGAAAGATTACCTATTGATGCAATTTTGCTAACCGTTACGTCTCATCGACAAACAATCTCTCTAACAAAGTCATATTTCCTCTCAATGTGCTTACCACGCTGATGGCTCTTTGGTTCTTTAGGGTTGACAACTGCTCCACTATTATCACAATATTATGGGTTCCATTACCAAAAGTACCACGTCAAGGTCAAAAACAAATTTTTTGAACCATATACCTTCCTTAGCAACCTCAGATGAGGCTACATTCTGCCTCCATGGTGGAATTAGCAATACATGATAGCTTCGTACTCCTCCATACCACGGTTCCACCTCCCAGTGTAAATATTGAATCCAACTTAGACTTCCCAGAGTCACGATCGGATTGAAAAGTGGAATCGGTATATCCAATACGATTCAGATCATATCCTGAATAGACAAGTAAATAATCTCTCGTTCAACGAAGGTACTTGAATATATGCTTCTTCGCTATCCAATGTTCTAGTCTTGGATTAGACTGATAACGATTAACAAAACCCACAACATAAAAAATATTTGGTCTAGTGCAAAGTATAGCATACATGAGGCTTCCTACAGCCGAAGCATAAGGAACCTTATTCATGTAATCTATCTCCGTTGGAGTCTTGGGAAAATGTTCCTTAAATAGATGAATTTCACATCTAAAAGGAAGTTGTCCCTTTTTGGGATTTTGCATTGTGAATCTAGATAATATTTTGTCAATATATGAAGTTTGAGATAATGCTATCTATCTGTTTTTCCTATCTTGTAAGATACAAATTCCTAAAATATAACTAGCTTCTCCCAAATCCTTCGTATCAAACTAAAGTGATAACCATTTCTTTACAGATGACAATGTCTCTACATTATTTCTAATAAGTAGAATGTCATTCACGTAAAGATCGAAAACATTACTTTCTTTCCTTGCATATGCTTGTATACATAAAGAATAAAAAAACTACTTTCTTCCATTTCATACGCTTATATACACAAAGTTCATCCATATTTTGGTCAAAACCATAGGTCTTAATGGTTTGATCAAATATTACATTTCATGACCGGACGCTTTCTTAAGTCCATAAAGGACCTCTGCAACTTGCAAACTTTTCTTTCATGGCCTTCTTTCACGAACTCTTAAGGTTGCATCATGTAGATAGTCTCGTTAAGAAGTCTATTTAAAAATGTTGTCTTAACATCCATTTTTCAAACCTCATAATCATAATGAGCGGCAATGGATAAAATGATTCGAATAGATTTAAGCATGGCAACCGATGAAAAGGTTTCTTCATGGTCTATACCTTCTGTTTGGGTGAACCCCTTGGCCAATAGCTTTGGTTTGAAGGTTTCAACCTTTCTATCTATACCTCTTTTCTTTTTATAAACCCACTTGCACCCTATAAGTTTGACCTCATTAGGTGCATCTACAAGATCCCAAACTTTGTTGGAATACATAGATTCCATCTTCGAGTTCATGGCAGATTTTCATGATTCAAAGTCTACATCCCCCATTGCTTCTTTAAACGAAGTGATATCTTCTTCTTGCTCAGTAGAGATCCCCTAATAGGACTCTCCATAGAGCAAATACCTAGAAGGTGGTCTCACAACCCACCCAATACGAGTACTGGTAAGTGCCTGATGGTCCAATCTAATCAAATGTCATTTCTTTCATCCCACTGCTTGGTCGTGTCCTTGGTTAGGACAAACCCCCTC